GGATTTGTACACAAGGGAACGGCTTTATTGTTGTATCCCGTTGGACCAAGCCCAGGAATAGGGTATCCCTCAAGTGGCCGTCTGCTTTCCTTTCTCCGTGCTAAGTCGGGGAAGACCCCACAGGACGATGGACGTGGAGGAAGTCATCACGGATCGATTGGAGCCGCTGCCGCTCGGGCAGATGGTGGTGATGGAGGTGCAATCTTGCTGGCAGAGTGGGAGGCCCAGCTTTGGCAATTTGGTTTTGCAGGGGGTCTGGTGCACCAGCTTGCCTGCAAAGTATGGGTGTGGCTTAAACTTTTCGAGAGCCAGGGGCCGCAAGTTGTTGCTCCAATTCTCATGTGGGGAATCACCTATGCACCCATATTTGGGGTTACGCAGGGTTTACTCTTGGGTTCCATGAACCAACGAACCAAGGTGCTATTTTGGTACCTTTCCTGCCACTAGCAGCACCTGACAGGGTCCCTTGAAGAGGAAATTTGTCTTCCAGGTACCCTCCCGCAAATGCTGGGAGGAAGGTACCTGTTTTTTTGAGCCACAGACACAGAGGATTTGGCCTCAGCTCTGAGGCTTTTTGGAGTGCTATGACAGGCCTGAGAAGGCTGGAGAGGCGAGCTGCTTGACACCCGCATGGGCCGCATGAGGGTGTCGAAGAAATCAAAAGCGCAGGTTCCAGAGGAAGGACTTGGGGGGTTGTCAAAAATGGGAATCCCATTTTTTGTTTTTGCCATGGCCCATGTGGGGCCCGCCTTTTCAAAGGTCCAACAAGGGGTCCATATTGTTGACACCCCCCACTTGTACTTTCTTAGTTTCTTTTGCTCCATCGCTTTCTCTGCTAACCAGCAGTGATGGTCTCTTTTGTTGCGGTTGCATTGGTGATATTGGCCCTGCTATTGTTTTTTGGGCTGCTTTGTCTGCTGCCAATGCTAGTGTGTTGCGCTCAATCTCTTGGCTTCTGCTGTGCTTATGTAGGTGCCTTGTCCGGTAGTGGAGTGGTGGTCGGCGTTGTACTCATCGGTGTAGGCGTTGCTGACTGCTGTGTGCCCCAGTGAAGGATTTGCCCGTTGCAGTGTCCTTGCCAAGCCAGATTCCAGTAGATTCTTGGGCGTGAGCGCATGTATCATAGTGAGGTCTCTATTACAGTTCTGCCTGATAACTGCTTTGAGTGTTCTGATCTGCTCAAGCAGTGTTCTGTGAACTGTATGCTCCTTAATTAATTCCTTGTTGTGGTATTGCCATTCTTGTTGGCCGCTGTGGTGAACGCTGTCAGGAAGTCTTCCGGATGTGACTACAGGATCGCGTGTGTTGTCCTTCCACATTCAGCAAGGAAATGTTGTAGTTGTGCTGACTGCGTAGTCAAAGCGAAGTTGCTTGTTGGTCGGTTGTGTTGCCACGATCATCGGACGCACGTTGCTGTCATCAAAGCCCTTCTTGTAACCGAAATCTAGTTGCACAGTTGTGAGTTTGCTGTGTGTCTGTGGATTAGGTTGCCTGGGCGCTTGTGCTTCATCTTATTCCAGTTGTTGTGGACATTTCTGAAGTTCCACCCTCTGCAAGGCTTACGTGTTGTCGGCGGTTGTGCTGTCCGCTCATCTTCTACAAGCCTGGTGTTGTGTTCAAGGTGTCGGCGGCTTGCTGTCTGGCTGTTCATGTGGTTTTGCTCTGGAAGGTCAGATGCCCTTCTCTGCACCGTTGGTCTCCTCATGTACTTCTGATGGATGTGGTAGTCCTTGTCCAGCTGTGCCTGTTGTGTGTGGTGATCACTTGGGGTGTGACCTTCGGTGTTTGCGCCTTTCTTGATTCTGAAGACTGTTTCTCCTTTCCACGCTTGCTGTTGCGCTCGGTGTGGGTTGCCCGTTGTCTGATGCTTGTCCTCGAATGTTGCTGTTGAACCATTTTTGGGCCTGATGGCCATCCTCCTGTAGTCCTCAAGTTGTTCTGTTGGAGCTGGACGCTCCTCGACGGTCTAAAGAGTGTCTTTCTGTATTGCATGTGTCTTCTCGCTAGTCTGTGCTGTTGAACTGCCAGTAGTCTCCTATCAGTATCCATGCAGTTTGACGAGTTGGTTGGATACTATTCTCGGCTGTGGTCCTGTTCCTTGCTCAAGTTGTTGTAGCCGGTATCGCATTGCAAACCATGCTGGACAAATTATTGCCGCGCCGCTGTCAGTCATCAGACTGACGCGTTTGTTGTCTTCTGTGGGTTGTTGTCGTTGTGCTACGTCCATCATGACAATCATCACCCCTTGCAGCCCTGAAACGGGTACTACGGTCAATGGACCTGTGTCTGTGAAGGTGCTACGTTACATAGTTGTTAAAGCTGTGTCTGATCTTGATGATACCAGTTGTTGTCGTTGTGAGTGAGACTTGCCGTGCCAGTTGTTTGTTTGGTCTTTAGTGTCAAAGTCGCCAGTGTCGCCACGTAGTCCGCATCCGCAGCAAACATTCGCTGCGCATGGTTCCTGAATATTATACAGACGCGCAAGCACACACACACATACACACACACACACATACACACACACACACACACACACGAAGAAGCGCAAAACACAAACAGACAGAAACCCGTGCACACACACACACACCAAACACACGAACACACACACACACACACAGCCCCACACACAAACGTCCATTGGAGGGCTTAAGATTTCGGTAGGAAGGATGCGGACACACCCTTTTAAAACATTTGGATGCGATTGTCGATTGAGCCGAGACAACAGCCGTTGCCGGGCAAACCACCAGTTAGGTGGTCTATCAACCAATGTTCGGGTATGGGTCAAAATAAATCCACCGGGTTTTAGTCTTTGGTTCCATTTACCAGGGTTCCATTTTCGGTACCTTTTTTTTGAGCCACAGCCATAGTCAAATCGGGTTTCATCCAACTGCGCAGCGGATTTGGTCCATCCGCCTCAGGCCATCTTTGCCAACCTCCTAGAAGCCGCGCCGAGCCTTGACAAGCTCTTCCGAGGGAATGACCTGATTGCGGGGAAGTTCCTGCATGGACACTTGGACTCTTTGGGGCAACGGCGAAAGGGGCAGGGGGCGAAGGGTCGCAGGAGTGCGGTAGATTTGAGTTGATCCTATGTCAGCGGGCGTTGAAAAGCAACGAACACTTTTTGTTTTGTCTTTTTATTCCAGTGAAAGGTGGCTGGCCCATTTGGTGCCCTTGTGGCGCTTTGGGACGAACTTGATTCGGGCTTGTTGCTTGCAGAGGCCTAGAAGCTTGCGCAGGAAGACACATGCACTGGGCCCGGGCTGACGGTGTAAAACGGCCCAGGCCGGTTCTTCAACGACTTGCACCCAGGGGGTCAGAGAAACTGATGGGGAAGCGCGGAATCTGTGCGTGGAATCCAGATTGATGTCTTTGCACCGGCAGGCTTAAACTAAGGACCGCTTTTGCGAGGGCTTATCTGAACATGGTGTTTTTTCAGAGTGTTTAGCTTTTTAGGGTTTAGTGCTACTTTCCATTGCACCACGAAAGTCTAGACTTTTAGCAGGGGGATGGAAGGGGAAAAGCTCAGCGGCAAGGCATTTTGCTCACCTGCTTGCGCCCAACGGATTCTGCATGCCTTTGTTTTCGAAGCGCCAGAAAAGGAAAGGACGACAAAACGGCGCGAAGCCGAGGAATCAGCCTGATGGTGGCGAACCTGGAGAATCCAGCGAACCTGACCAGCATCGCGAGGGCCTCAGGGGTTGGGCATGAGGCGAGGGAAAAGAGAGGGTCCCAGATCCGAAAACAGAGGCGGACAAGTCCCCCAAGAAAGAGCTGACAGAAACACCGTGGGTTGAAGCTCAGTAAGGCACAGTGCCTGCCATAGCTGGCGGTCAGAAGCCCTTCTGATTTTTTCTCTGGTAGATCCATTTCCCAGATTCGTTGACCGCGATTCTCTTGCACATTCCGCCGAGAACGGGTCGAAACGTCGAAACATCAGAGAACCCCGCTGAGAGTTCCTTCAGAGGGCCATGGCCCTGCAGGTGGAGAACATCGGGTTCCAGCACCTGGAGGTGGAGGTGAACATCCCCCGCCTGGCAGTCTTCAGAAGCTCGGAGGGTAAAAAAGAACACCTTCTTGCTGTGCTTTGAATCCCAACCCATGGAATTTTCCGAGAAAAAATAGGGGAAACAACCCAAAACAAACAGCATTTCGATGTGTTTTGCTGGGAGTCCTTTCAAGTAAGTTCCCGTCTCGTGGCGTTTTGGCGTTCCAAAGAACCCAGAAGCTGGGAGAGGCTCTGCGATGGGAACTCCAAGGTCCATCTTTTTACAAGAAACATCCGCTGGCATAGTGATATGGGTAGTGTGTCCTTCTCTACGGGAGCCCCCAAATTGTGTTTTTCCTGGTCGTTTCGCCTTTTCAATCCACAAACAAGGGGTGGCCACTCCAAAAGTGCACGCTGACCGAAGCCCAAGAGGCGGGTGGAGGCTGACCCAACTTTTCGCCTCTTACCTGAGATGGCTTGTGGGTCAACATGAAAACAAATAGGACATGGAGAAAACGCCATTTGTGGGGGATCCCGCGAAAAAGTCACCCATCTGGCTGTGGTTGTCAACACCAATGGGATCCCATTTTGGTTGGTAGGTGAATTCACCACCCATTGTAGGACCCATTTTAGTGGGGGTTGGAATGTTCACTGGGAGTACGATTTGGATTTTGACCCATGGCCATACGGGTGTCTTTTTTTGAGTTGGTACTCTTGAAAACAAATATAACATGGGGGAAAAAACACTCCATTTGTGGGGGATGGTACTCTTGAAAACACGTATAAATTGGAGAAACCGCCATTTGTGGGGGATCCCTAGAAAAAAGAAGTCAACCATATATGAGTACGGGTCAAAATTACACCACCAGGATATGGACCGGTTTTGGTCCTGGGTTCCATTTACCAGGCCCATATTTTGGCTACCAAAGACCCATGGCCATTTTAATATAGACTAGGGTTCCATTTTGATATGGTCTGGATCCACCGGCTCCGAGGAGAGGCGCTCCTGGACACCGCGTCTCGGACTCGATGCGGCTTTTCGCCCAGCAAAAGCCGCTTTCGTCCGCGGGTTTGGCGCGGACCGTTGGAGGCTCCCCGAAGCGGCAGGTCGAGGCTCCAAAGGTTCAGGCCTACGGGTTTCATATGGCGCCCCTGAGCTACCATGTGGCTGATGCCTTGACCCGGCACCCCTCAAAATTTAGAAGATCCATTTGGGTTCTCTTTGCAAATGGAGACATGTCGAGGTGCGGGCAACATGTCCATTGGAGGGATATGGGGGAGTCCCGTAGCTCAAGTCCTTTGGATTGTCAGTTCAAAGTCCAAAACGGAGATCCTCAATTTTGAGACACGCCTTTGCCACGTAACAAACAACCCATTTACAGTGCAAACATGGGCGTGCTTCAACCAATTGCACCAACATGCCGCCTTTGCAAATGGACAAGGCAACCACCTGCGCCATTTTTTTTTTGGGGGGGTCCAACCTTAAAGAGACACACCCAGTTGTTTGTTCTCTGGTTACCCAGAATTTGGGAACGTATTTGGGACCTTCCTCCTCACATCGATACAGCTGAAAACCAAGCAGCCTTGAGAAATGAGCATCGAAGTACATGTCAACTTGATCTCCAACAGTTTGTTGTTTCAAATTGCACTCCATGTTTGATTCTGACAAGGCTTGGTGCAGTCTTCTCGTCCGGTCGCTGTGCATTTATCTTAGTCACATGGTCCCTTAAACTAACACATCAAGTGTTGTTTGCAAAAACTCGAGTTGGAACGGACACTTTACAAAGCATGTGCCATTTTGAAAAGGCAATCGCGTGCGCTGTCTCTCTCTCTCTCTCACTCTCTGTCGTTAAAATCGGTGGTTACTTTGCTTACAAGTGCAAGTGCTGTAGTGTTCAAACAAACAGTCAACCAATGTAGTCTGCAGCTGCCAACCTTTTGACTCATGCGGAGTAGTAAGCTCAAGGCCTGCGGTAGTGAACATACATGCAACAAGGGTGCAAAGTGAAGCATGTAGTTTGACACGGCCCCTCAGTTAAAAGGTCTTTGTAGTACCTTTTCAACTGAAGTGCAAAACATGGATTGACAGTAGTGATGAAAACCATTGTTGTTCATGAATTCTACTGTGTTGGCAAAAGTAGTGACCTGCGCTCAGTAGTTCACGCTGTTCAGGTTCCAGCTCGATATAGGGCGCTGGACGGAAGTAGTGAAGGCAGGCACTCGTTGTAGTAGAGCAGGAGCTCAAAAATGTAGTCCCCATTTCTGGGTGCGGTAGGCTTGGACCATCTGTAGTCGACTGTCCAAGGTCGCGTAGTAGTTGGTGGTGAAAAAGGTTGTCATGTAGTTTGGAGCTCCCCGTAGTCGCTCATCATCAATCTCGGGACACGACATGTGTTGTTGGTAGTCCCGTAGAAAGCGGTGTAGTAGTGCTTTGTGGTGTTGTGTGAGGTTGGTCATTGTGAGTAGTGTGAATCCGTAGTATTGGATGCTTTTGCAGAGGACTGTAGTGATGGCTTTGTGTTGGTAGTCGTGGAGTTGGTCTCTGTTGTAGAGGTAGTGGAGTAGTTCAGGTAGTAGTAGTGGCATGTGGAAATTCCAAACGTAGTTGTTCCTGAGGCTGTAGTTGTCAGTGAAGGTGGCCATGTTGTAGTTCACCTTGAAGATGGTCTGTGGCAGTGTTGTAGTCGGGAGGTAGTAGTTGTGTTGTACCGACATCATGTAGGAGATGTAGTCCCTTGTGAAGTGTAGAAATTGTCCTGAAGTGAGGTACCTCAGGAGTAGTGGTTGTTCAATCTGGAGTTGGATGATGACGTAGTTGGTGTTGTCGCCAGTTGTAGTGTGGAGTGAAGTCGTGTGGTAGTAGTGGACATTGGCTGCTTCAGGTAGTGAAATGCTGAGCAGTGTGGAATTGTAGTGTGGCATCCGAAGATCTCCAGGGATGCAGTGAATGGGTCGTGTGTAGTCCAGTTGTGCCAGTGGAGTAGCTTGTTGTTGTGAGAGTAGTTGATACTCTTCAAGTGTAAATGCAGTGAAAAATTGCGTGTAGGGAATGTTGTTGGCCAGTGGTGGTGCAGTGGTTGTCTGGTGCTCAGTGATGTGTAGTTGGTCCATCACTGTGGTCGGGTTGTAGTAGACGGTGTTGCCGGGTGTAGAATGGTTGAAGTGGTAGTTGGAGTCGTTGTAGGTTTGAGGTGGTGGAGTTCCATGGTCACTGGAGTCCGTAGTGACCGCCACCTCAGGTGTAGTCGCCCTGTCGGGCGTAGTGGCGTCTCCCATCGTAGCGTCTCCAGTAGATGGAGCGGCCATGGCTGCAGTGGAATGCAAAATGTAGTGAAACGGGGCAAAACAAATGAGCCTAAGTAGTTGCTACCTACTTACATACCTGAAATGTCCAAAGTCGTTGTTGTTGTTGTGAAACTGCTGTGCTGGTCGTTCGTAGTGCTAGATGCGTATTCCAATGCTCTGGATGAGCCTGTGTAATGTTTCTTTGCTGATGTATTTGGTAAACAAATCTGCGCTGTTGTGGAGTGTGTTGATCTTAAGGATTCTGATGATGTCGTGCTTGATGAGGTCTTGTGTGTAGAGGAATTTGAGGTCGATGTGTTTTGCTCGTTTGCTAGTGCCTTGTCGTGTAGCAATGCTCTTGCCTGCTGTGGAGTCTGTGTGGATGCGTAGGTTTAGCTTGCTGCAAATGTTGGTTTCAAGTAGGAAGTTTCTGAGGTGTAGTCCCTCATTAACTCCTGTGCAAATGGCGTAGAGTTCAGACTCTGCTGAGCTAAGTGCTATTGTAGCTTGTGTTCTGCTGCCAAATGCAACTGTTGTTCCTAGAAAGATGATGTTGAAACCTGAAGTTGATTTCCTGGTAGTAGGGCATCCTGCCCAGTCGGCATCGACATGAACGTCGAGATCCAGGATGTTGTTGGTGTTTGCTCTGAGTGTTGTTGTTGGTTCTATGGTGAATTTGTAGTGCTTGGTGCCGTGCAAGTAGCGTAGTAGATGTTTGACTCTCTTTTGTGAAAGTTCTGTAGGTGCTGTGAGGTCTCGTGCTAGTTCTTTTGTGGAGTATGCAATGTCTGGTCGTGTGTATGCTAACCATTGAAGTTTGCCAACAATTCTTCTGTACCTTTTGTGTTGTTCGTGGTCAAGTAGTGCTTCATCTTCTATTGTTGGTTTGTAGTGTGCAATTCCTGGAGTGTTTACTGAGTTGCAGTTGTTCATTCCAGACTCCTCGATCATGTTGTCGATGTAGGAGTCCTTTAGTCCAAGATTGCAGTAGTTGCCGAAGTGGTCGATGTTTCTTCCAAGAAATTGTTGTGGTTTGCCAGGTTCGAGGTAGCCGATGTGCTTGAGTAGTACCTGCTTCTGGACGGCCTCGAAAGTGGAGTCGACTGCGGTCTTGTCTCCAAGTACTAGTAGATCGTCCACGTAGACCATGATGTAGCAGTCGCGAGTCGCATTGGTGTAGACGTTGGGTTCTGACTTTAGTCTTACAAAGCTGAGCTTTTGTAGAACTTCAGCCAGGTAGTCCTGCCATGCTTTTGGTGAACTGCGTAGTCCATACATGGCTTTCTTTAGTCGCCAGATTTTGTCCTGTTGTGGACAAAGTTCTTTAGGTGGCCAAAGGTAGACGTCACGTTGTTTACCGTCGTGGTCTTTTGCGATGGGTGCGTGTAGAAATGCTGTAGAGACGTCACCTAGTCGCGCGATCCAGTTTGGTCGTGACATTTGTAGTGCGAGAAGTGTCCGGAGTGTCGTGAACATTGGTGTAGAGGCGTAGACGGAGTCTTCGTCCTCGATCTTCTCGGTGTAGCCTTTTGCGACGATTCGGCTTCGTACTCCTGGTCCTTTCTTTCTGTGTACCCATCTTGTAGGTATCGCTTCTCTGATGACGTTGTCGTTGACGGTAGACGCATCTACTTCGTCGTAGACGTCGTGTAGTTTCATTTGGTTTGACTCGTGTTTCATTCCTTCCAGTAGTTGTGTTTCGTCGTAACCTTCGTTGTCAAAGATTATGGGTTGGTCTTCTGAGGTGTCGTCGTTTGTGTAGGGAGTGATGGATTTTCCGTTGGGAAGTGTCACTGCGTTGATTTTCTGTCGTAGTGGTGGTGGTTCTTTGGTTGCTTGTTCCGTTGATCTGATCGTAGTGTCCTTTGAGGTCTTCTGTGCTTTAGTTGGTTGCATTACTTCTTCCGGAGTTAAGCGTCGTAGTGTTTGTCGAGGTGGTGCTGGTAGTGGTGGATGTTGTCGTCCAATTGGTGAAGTAGCCATAGGACTATCCGGTAGTGGTCGTGAACTTGACGTCGATGTTGACGGAAGTCGTGGAGGTGGTGTGGTGCGTTGTTGTTTTGTTGCGGGTTCCGCAACGATGTCGTCCGTAGCGTTCGTTTGTTGTCCGAAATCTTGCGTGGACCTTCTTTTCTCTGACGGTTGTAGTTGCGTATCCAACAGTGTTGCGAACGATGGGTTGTAGGTGTTCCGTCGTGGTGCCCATGGTGTGCCGGAAACTTTGTTCAACAGTGCGAGGTCGTATTTGAAGTCCGGTTGTAGTCTCCGTACTGTTCGTACCTTTTGTACGCCTGATTCCGTTGCGACGTAGTTTTCTCCGGTTTCGGAAACTTTTCCGAGCCAGATGCATTTCTGCATCCGTAGGTCTGCTTTCGGAAGTTTCTTGTGTTGTGGTGGAAGGTAGAGTAGTGTCTCGCCAAATTCGCAGATTGCTCGCTCGTAGTTTCTTCCCCAGCGGCGTTCAAAGCTTGTGTAGCCGTCTGAGTGAATGACGTAGCGATTTACCGTCCATGCTGCATGTCGTACTATCCAAGGTAGTAGACAGTGCTTTGTGGACATCGTCATGCTGTAGTTGCTTTCAACCTGAGCTTTGACGACGCGGATTTGTCCGAGAAGTGTTCTATGTAGTCGCTCAACGCTTCCTTGACTGTTGCTGCTGTAGGAAGGTGAATGTCGTACACTCATTGTGCCGACTTTTGCTGCTGTAGCTTTTAGAAGTGCGTTGAGTGT